AGTGAGCGGGAAAGGGAGAGTGTGGTTGGACAGTGGGGTATTTGAATTCATGATCTGGAAGTTGTGCTGGTTCTGGTGATAACACTAAGGATATTCCCCTTTACAAGTGTTTGGCCAAGGGTGAGGTGGTGTACACGTGTAATCCCAGCTACTTGGGAGGCCAAGGCAGGAGAATTGCTTGAACCCAGGAGGTGGAGGTTGCAGTGAGCTGAGATTGCACCACTGTCCTCCAGCCTGGGTGACAGAGCAAGACTCCATCTCAAAAAAAAAAAAAAAAGAGAGAGAGAATGGTTTCTGGGTTTGAAGCTTTAACATCTGGAGTTTGGTGATGTTTGCCAAGATAGGGAAGATTGGGGAAGGGGGCACAGGTGTCAGAGCAGCAATCGAGAATTCATTTTGGAAGGCTGAAGTTTGAGAATCCTGTGACATATCAAGTGCAGATGTCAGAAGCCAGGTTTAGATGTGGAAATCTGGAACTCCCAGGAGAGATTTGGCCTAGAAACAGAAACTTGGGAGTTTTCAGTTTTAAAAGTCATGGAGAGATGTATGGAATCTTTAGGAGAGAGTGTAGAGAAAGAAGAAAAGGAGAAAGGATTCTTTGTCCATTATAATTGGGCAAAAGATTATATATAAATTTGGGTTAGAAGTTTTGAAGATGGGCCGGGCGCGGTGGCTCAAGCCTGTAATCCCAGCAGTTTGGGAGGCCGAGACGGGCGGATCACGAGGTCAGGAGATCGAGACCATCCTGGCTAACACGGTGAAACCCCGTCTCTACTAAAAGTACAAATAATTAGCTGGGTGTGGTGGTGTACACGTGTAATCCCAGCTACTTGGGAGGCCAAGGCAGGAGAATTGCTTGAACCCAGGAGGTGGAGGTTGCAGTGAGCTGAGATTGCACCACTGTCCTCCAGCCTGGGTGACAGAGCAAGACTCCGTCTCAAAAAAAAAAAAAAGAAGTTTTGAAGATGACAGACTTGTGTAATAGCTTTTTTGTTTTTTGGTTTTTTTTTTTTAGTGAAATAGGAGGAAAAGCCCAGAACAAGTGGGCACAGCATGTTTGGAGAATATGTGATAGTGACGGGGAGAAGGTGTGATAGTCATGGGGAGAGGAGGGGCTTGCTGGAGAGTACTAGGATGGCCAGGTGGCGAAGGCCCATTTGAGGTTGGGAATAGTTAGTGAGTAATGACTCCGATTTGCTCCAGTGTCTTTTTTCTTTTTAGCAATACTAAGCTGTATGAGCACAGGCCTGAGGGTATGTGGTTCGGTTTATCTGTTGCTCAGAGAGAGTGACAAGGGACTTGAGGTTATTCGAGAGGAAGCTATCGTCATGATGGAATCTAAGCTGGATTGAAAAAAAACAAAGTTAAGCAGGGGGGCAGATGCAGAGAGGGAAGTCCAAGTTGGGAGATCTGTGAAATAGTAGTCTCTCTGAGTTTCAAGGAGGCATTTAAACAAGTGAGTGGGAAAGGGAGAGTGTGGTTGGACAGTGGGGTATTTGAATTCATGATCTGGAAGTTGTGCTGGTTCTGGTGATAACACTAAGGATATTGACCATTGCAAGTGTTTGGCCAAGGGTGACCCGAAGGAAGGGCACTGTGTCCAAAGGGGGCAGTGTTTTGTCAGAAACGTCTCACCGTTTAGAAGCTGGAAGTATATTCATGGTGAGCTACGGGTTCATTCTGCAACTGATCACTGGGATAACCTCAACAGTTCCTCCTTTACATATGCCATCACTTCAGCATTATTAAGCAGCACATGTGACTGGAGGCCCAGGGCAGCCACAATCCAGAATGGGTTATCCTCTGTTAGGACATTTATCTTGGCTATAACTAGAACTGGAGGTAGTAGGGCAGCATTTGGCAGAACTGGGCATATTTTTACATGTGATTTTGTGGTTTATTTTTGTCCTTGGTTGCTAGGAAGGGGGCTTACAAGGAACATCCCCAACATATTATGAACTAAGGTTTCTTAATGGTGCTTTTGGAGAACACTTAGCTGAGACACAAAAATAAATGTTTTTCTGGTCAGTGAGTGGGGGACTGTGACAAGGAGAATTGGAATGATAGTTGTCATGTTTTTGTCTACAGAGTAAGAGGAGGTCCAGATAATCAGGTGATGAAAAGGGGTGGGGGGAAGAATAGGAGGGAGGAAGAATAGGGGTGGGGGGAAGAATAGGCTTTACTGTTTAGAAGAATGGGAAAACCCTTAAGGAGACTTTTCTGAAAGTGTGGGTATGAAAATAAAGCAGGTGTATGCGAAAACCACTTTTCAATATTGTGATCAGTGTGTCATGTCAGTGACAGACCATGGATATAAAGCTGACCCTTCGCTGCAGCAAACAGATTTTTAAAGTCAATTAGATTCCTTTGGTAATGATTCCTTTCTTGCCTCCTTCTAGGTTAAGCAGCTGCAGGAGGAAACGCCACCTGGTGGTCCTTTAACTGAAGCTTTGCCCCCTGCCCGAAAGGAAGGTGATTTGCCCCCACTGTGGTGGGATATTGTGACCAGACCCCGGGAGCGGCCCACATAGAGAGAGACCCCTCATCTTTCATACTTGCAAGTGAAATACGTTACACAACATGCACTTGCCCTAATAAAAAAATCAATGAAATGGTCTCTGGTATGACTGGCGTTCTTATAAGAATTACCGTGATGCCAAGTGACTGTGCCACTATCATTGTTTTATCAGTTGTGCATGTGAAGAAAATAACGGGACATGTAGTCGGTCAGCTGTGTTCTCTGCAATAAATCACGGATAGCACATATTACCAGTAAGGAAAAACTGAGGCAGAACCAGATTGAGGCGAATAAACTCTCAAGTCAAAAGCCTAATTAGCTGTGGTAACTGGAAGGAATAAGCAAAGCCAAGAACAGAAATACTGAGGATTTAAAAATAACCTTTTTGGTTTTCTAAAGAGTTCACTAATGGAATTTTAGTTTTTATTAGAACAACAACTCTCCCTAAGAAGTGCATAGTCAGCAAATAAGCCTGGAATTTGTGGAGTTCCCTCAAGGGTGGAGGTTTGATGGTTGGGGTTAAATGGTCCAATCTGGGATAAAACTTTGTGGTGCTTATTTTAGAAGCAGTTTTCCAGCTTTGCTTCTGCTACTGTAGCTTGGATTGTCTGCGGACTCAAAGGTAAGGGAATAACAGAACTCCTTAAATGTTTCAGAAGCTTTGTTTGTTGTTCTTGTTTTTTAAAGATAAAGCAGTTTTTAAAACTTTCAACCCAAAACAGCTGCTTTTAGTTCTTGATACCTCATTAGATAGAACTGTTTTCAAATAGTTTCAGGCAACCAATGATCTTATAGCCATCACAAAAATATTTTGTCACTTTCTGTGTAAGCTCTATTTGAGTCCCAGTCCATCTTCTAACATTTGACTAAGACCTCAAACTGAATTGTAACAAGACTTGAAATACATGACTTTTTTAATCTAGTGGTTCTTTATTTATAACGTAGGCTGAAGCAATTGTTACAATGTAGAAGGGAGACACAGTACACAATTGTTATTTATACAAGTTTAGAACAAAAAACTGCACAGGGAGAGGTCAACTCTCAGTACAAACTAGCAACTAAACCACAATAATTTACCGTTAGAAACGATTTCTTTATTTTTAGCTGTGACACTGCTTTTACAATATGCAAAAACACAAGCAGAACTACCCAAGGTGTGTCGTCACATTCTTTCTACATTGAATTTGGCAACATTTTATTTATTCAGATTATACTAACGTTTAAAAACTAAACAAGTGAAAAGCTGTACCAAGGTACAGTTACATCCATTTATTTCAAAGGTTTAAAATACCACTTTTATCTATTGTGATTACCTTGCAGCGATTTCTGCTTTTGCAAAAACCATCTCAAGCATCATATGCACAATGCATCAGCTACTTTTAGTCATCAAGATTGGTGGGCTAAACCACAGGCACTACTGTTGCTTATATTCTGTAAAAGGAGCTTGTTTTTCAAAGAAAAAAGCTTAAATAGTTTCTAATAATCATGCCTTTGCTTTAAAGCCGTAACATAAAATGTCCTTGAGCAATTGCAGCAGTGTTCAATGTTAATATATAGAACAATGACCATACGGCACGTTACTCTCACATCCAATGCAGTTATGTGTTAAAGCATAAGATTAGGTAATTGAGGGTTAGAGCCAACAGGAATCTGCAGGGTGTATGAGACCCACCAAGCTCCTCCTCTTCCTTGAGAGGGTTAGGTCAGAAATGTGCCCTGTTAACTGACCTGACTGCTAAGGGACTTGCTTGCTTTCTTAAACACTATTGTCTTCAAATGTGATCCCTTTAAATCTACAAATCTCTGTTGGTTTTAGGGTGTGGGCATTATAACAAATTTAACTTTCATTTAAAAAAGAAAAGACAAATCCTTTCCAAAAAACATTACCCAGAATACAAAAAAGGACAGTATAGTGGTCAGATTCCCAGTGACAATAACCAAATCCTCCTCTCTTCAATGTTTACTGTGAAGCCAGTTAACTGCCACTTATTTGAAAGAAGAAAAGAAAAACAAGCCCCCAGATTGGTAAACACATTGGCAAGTTGCTTGCTAGACTCCAAGCTGGCTACCCTTGTCAAATCCGTTCGAGTTTTTTCAAAATATTTGGGCTTTTTAACGCACCCAGCCTGCTGGGCGCAGTTAAGTAAACGGCATTTACTATAAGAATTCCCTGCTATCATTTTTAAATGTTTTCACATTTTTTAAAACTGCCTTACCCTTTTGGATGTATTTGGATTCCATGAAGGTGAGTACAATCAACGAGAAACTGAAGTGGGGGCTTCTACGACTGCCCAGCGGCAGCAGCATGCATGGGGCTGGAGGTGGGTGCTGTGTGCAGTCCAGAGGAATCGTGGGAGAAAGGAAGTCCTTAAACACCCTACAGAAACAAACACTGCAATCCAGTATGGCTTATTCGGATGCATTTACCATGAAGCTACTAGAAGAAATTCAACCTACGAGGCTACTCTTAAATGTAACAGGATCGGCTATGTTGACGGTGTGCCCCTCCCATGGCCCTCCCCCCAATCCCAACACAGTCTACCATTTCCAGATTTACTTCACTCTGAATATTGCTCATCAATTGTTACTCCTGCTCTTTTCATCTAGAACATAGTATATTTAAATGAGGATTTTACCTCTTAGCCATTTAGTTTGTACATTAAAATAACTTGCATTTGCTTCTAAGCTAGACTACTACAATGCCTCTACAAAAGCTTGTGGGGGAAGAAAAAGAAGAGTGAAGTATAGTAAATCCTTTTCTAAAATTAACTACTTCGTGGTTGCCCTGCCCCAACCCCCACCCTTTTATGCATTTAAAATTTTACAAAGACTTGTAAAAAAGTTAAATGGAATTTGGCACCTTCAGAAAAATCAAAAGGGAAACTTAAGATTAAAATGTGCAGAAAGAAAATTGTCAATATTTACAAATTAAAAGATCAAGATTATGTCAGTTACATAGGTTGGTTTTAATTCTTATCTAAAGGTGTCGAGTACTTTCAAAAGAGCTATATTCTGAGTTGCCTACAAAATCTTTTGTTTTATTATAGATTGGAATGGATCAAGACAAATTAGGTTTTATTAATGAAACAGTTCATTGCCCACTGGCGTGTTTCTTGTGAGCCTAAGAGAAGCGAGGGGCCGAGCGATCATTTGTCGTGGTCTTCTTCAGTTTCACGCCCCTTCGGATGGCGTTCAGCATATCTTCTCCTTGTGGAGTATCCCTTGGGCTCAGGTCTGCAGGGTCACTCTCTGGAATCTGGCCTGGGGAGACAGTGGCACTTGGGGGATCCCGTTCCTGGTCTTCGGCTTCACTTTCTGGAATTGCCTGTCTGTGCTCCTCAGGGATACTGGGCTTCGGGCCTGGAAGTGGAGGGTTAACGGAAGCTTGGCCGCTCCACATTGAGGAGGGCATGCTGGTGACACCTTGGGGGCCCTCACCCACAGATGGCGACTCAGGGCTGTGCTCCCCCCGCTCTTCTGGCCCATCTGGAGGGGCTGGCAACATCCCTGGGAGGTCTGGGACCGTTGGGGTCTTGACAGGGATCACGGGCGTCTTGATGGGGATGGGACCAGCTCCAATGGTTCCCCGGCGGACAGAAGGCTTGGTGGAAGGGGTCCGTCGGATAGTTGCAACCCCTGGAGTGACCATAGCAGGTCCCAGGGTGGTGGGGAGGCCAGCAGTTGAGGCTGGACGCTTGGCTTGGAACATCCGTCGGTAGGACTGGCTGATGTCGCTGTTTCTTGGAATGGTGGAGGACTTGTCGAACTCCTGTTGATCTGCCTCCTGGTCACCACTTACAGAGAAATAATCATAATCTGAAACTGATTATAGGATTTGATTAGACATATTCAAGACAGCAGCTTTGCTTTTTGATTCTTCTGCGCTGGGAGGACAAAAGGCACGCAAGGCAGGGTACGCACAGTCTCATCCCAAGCTTCCCCCAGGCTTCTCTACCATCTTCAGAAAGCCTCACCAACTACGAACTCCCTGGCAGGGATCTTTGCTTTGTTCACTGATGTGTCCCCAGCACCTAGAACGGTGCTGGACATGGTAGGCACTCAAATATCGTCAATGGGGAAGAAGGTAAAGCTGCTAGGCTGCAGCGAAGCTCCCTCCAAGCATCTCTGGGAGGGATAAGGGGGATGAAAGCAGACAAATTCTCCAGTCCAGAATTCAACATGAAGATCAAACCTCAGACTAGCCTAGGCGATAACATCTCCCTGATGATTAACTGGAGAGGCGAGGGCTAGACAAAGAACAAAGCTACTGACAGTGAGTCCCTGACAACAAGGGACAAGGACAGTTTCCATCAGTGTGACGTGCTCACTTCCTTGTAAGACCAATCTCAGGATGATGTGGGAGCTTACAGATTAAACAGCTCACAGCACTGATTCTGAACCGCCGTACTATTGACCATTTGGGCTAGACAGTTCTTTGTTATGGAGGACATGGTGGGGACGGGCTGTGCTGTGTATTCCAGGATGTTTAAGCAGTATCCCTGCCCTGTGCCCACTAGGTGCCAGTAGTACCCCCTCAGTTGTGACAACCAGAAATGTCTGCAGTCATTGCCAAATGTCTCCTGGGAAAGAAAATCACCCTCCAATAAGACTCACTGTCTTAGAGGTTTTGAATGATGAATGGCATAGCTTTTGGTCAATTATCATAGACATTCCAGCTCTTAGATTTTCATCTTGCCTGACTTGTGTGTGCAGTGGACATGAGGATGAGGGAGGCAGGTCTGATAGAGGATTTGGCTGGAATAGGTTAAGAACTTGGGCATTACACTCTAACACACGGGTTCAAACTCCAGTTCTGCTACTTACTGGTTGTGTGAATATGAGCAAGTTATTGAACCTTAATTTCCACTTCTGTAAAACAGGGATAAAAATACCTACCCCATAAGTGGCTGTAAAGATTAAATGGGAAAATAACCATAAAGTGTACAGTGCAAAGTGCTGAAACAAAAATGAAGCTATTCCTTTGAGACAGGGTCTCGTTTTGTTGCCTGGGCTGGAGTGCAGTGGTGCAGTCGTGGATCAAGCAATCCTTGCACCTCAGCCTCCAGAGTAGCTGGGATCACAGGTGTGTGCCACCACACCTGGC